CTATGGACTCTTATTGAGATGCACCTTTATATTCCAATACTGAAAACATAAATCATGACTGAAAAGTACTAAAAGTCACTCACTGTAAAAATCATGCATCTGCTCTAGCTTTCTCTGATGCTTTGAGGAGGAAAGCAACATCTTATTCTTAAACAATTTAATTCTAGTCAAATCTCTTCAATGATCCAATTCACAAAACCTGTCTAGATGATTCGCTCACAAATGAGACTGATCAGATTTTTTCAAGATCATCTGACTGATGCAACTCACTGAAGGATATACGGCTTCAAAACACTTTGAATATAGCACACAAGCTGTCAAAATATTCTTAATGTTTTTGAAATAAGCCTGTTTTGACCACTAAGGCTGCATTTATTTTATCATGACTGTTTTCTATTTTCAATATATTTGAAAATGTAATTTATTCCTGTAATGGCAAAGCTATATTTTCAGCATCATTACTCCAGTCTTCAGTGTCATATGATCCATTAGAAATCATTCTAATATACTGATTTGGTGCTCAAGGCTAAACTAACGTATCTTATCAATGCTGTGCTGCTTAATATTTTTGTGGAAACAGAGATACTTTTTTTTTCATTATTAAACATCTTTTTTTGTTCCACAAAGTCATAGAAGTTTTGAACAACTTGAGGGAAAAGAAATGACAGAACGTTCATTTTTGAGTGAACGAATCCTATCATATTATTTCCACTGAAACTATGCTTTGTCATTAAATTAAATAGTAAGAAATGACAGAAAGGCATTGTCAGCGTCCCTTGCACAGCATCTTTCCATGTTGTAGCATGTTTAAAATGATCATGGAAGACGCCTTTTCTGTCCTTAAATGCATGTTCCAAACCACAGACCACCGGAAAGCCACATTACGTTCCTTCCTATTAAATGTAATGGCTACTAAATTATTCAAATAACTACTTTTAGAAATCCCTTATATTTCTTTCTAACACTTTATTCCACTGAACAACAACAACGTTCAACTACAACAGGGAGATGCATAAAATAAGGGATGGATACACAATCACAAAAATCAAGTATTTCTGAGATGTGTAATATTTATGTACCTACATGCTGTTCATACATTATTTAGTATAGATTTATGCAAATGCACAATAATAAGAACACAGTAACATTGCAAGCAATTAAAAATAAATCAACGAATAAAAGGTAATTTGAAGGTGGCAAATTTTAAAGGGGTCATATGATGCGATTTCAATTTTTCCTTTCTCTTTGGAGTGTTACAAGCTCTTGGTGCATAAAGAAGATCTGTAAAGTTGCAAAGACTAAAGTCTCAAATCCAAAGAGATATTCTTTATAAAAGAGTCAGCCACACCTACCTAAAACGCCTCGTTCTAACACGCCCCCACATATCTACGTCACGATGTGGGAAGATTTGCATAACGCCGCCCAAATGTTCACGCAAAGAAAGAAGGCGTAACTTTTATTCTCGTTGTAGTATTGTTGTTGCCGCCGCCATGTCGTGAAGGCGCTGTGTGCTTCGTTGTGAAAGCGAAACTACTTTGTTTGGCCTTCCAAAAGAGGACGATATCTGCTTCGTCATGCCTGGAGCTGATCCGTGCTAGTTGCTGAGGAAATACATCAACTTCGCTCTATC